ATCAGGGCTGTTCTAGATTAAGACACAGGGTTACATTATTCATAACTTCTTTTCATGGGTAGAAGTGAGATGGAGAACAGAGGATTGGTTTTCCTTTTATGTGAAGGAATATTTGCCCACTTATTTCTGCACTGATCGTCAAAAGGAAGGACTTATTTATAAAAGATCCAATCTGAGATTCTCCTTTATGCTTTTATCTCCATTCCCCCCAAATACAGGACAGTGGATAGCTCAGCTTTGGCATGCATGACTGATCAGGCAAGAGTGATTTAAAAAAAGATGAAAGCAATGGATGACAAGGGCATGCTATGTTTTTGAAAGTCATGTCAACACATGAAAATAATGAACCTAAAAAACAAACAAACAAACAAACAAACAAAAATCCCTAGGTTTTGTAAAGAGGTTTTAGAGCAATTCTTCCAGTTAATTTGATGTAAAAGTCCATGTTCCATTATCATACCAACTTGGCCATGTAGGTCCACATGCGCTAAAATATGATGACCAAAGCAATGAGAACATTTGTACCTTTACTTTTTCCTGACAACTTTGAAACAAATCATTCCAAATACCATTTGCCCAAATGATTTGGATTTTCCAAAAATTCTTCAAAATTTATGTTTTATGAAAACCTACTATAAATTCCATTCACTTTCAAAGCAGATAGCTATTTTGCTCCAAGTACCCTGATAATTTAAGGCTAAAGGAATTCTTTTGACCTGAATCTACATAGTTAATCTCAGTGTTTCAGCTCATTTTCCTTTTAGAGACATGAACTATGTATATGTGTTATTCACTCCATAAGTAAAAAGTTTCTTTTTATTTTAAGAAATAAAAAGCTTATGCAGCATTTAATGTTTGTAAATGACATTCTTTTGCATAACACATAAATTATATATATGATAATCTTTAGGAATTTCAGCTACCGATATCTTGTGTAAAGATTTGATTATCTTTTCCATCTTTCAGACTCTGACTTTTGGTGATGTGGTTGCTGTTCGCCACTATGAGAAGGCATAGAAAGTTTCCCGATACGAGGTTGGAAAAGCTCTACAATTTTTCTGTTTACTCAAGACTCAGTGTTATCCTGCTATTACTGCATGGGTGATCACTAATTAGAAGGTTATCTTTGATGTGGAGGTAGAAAACGGTGCTTTAAAAACTTGTTTTTAAAACTTTTTACTGCAACTAGCCCAACTTTGATCTGCAAGTTTAACATGTTTTATAATTCACATTAAAAATTTTAAGACACATTTTTAAAATAAAGAAGTGAATTCGTTTTATAATTTCTACTGAAATGCAAATCAAATTGGAATAAAAATCTTCCACCCGTGAGAAATTTTGTCGTTGTTTTTAGTATCAGTAATCTGGTGGGGAATTAGACATTAGGAGGTTTTAGACAAAATAGCCTTTCTTACTGTGTAAGGTAAAACTGAAAAAGTTAGCACTTTGTTTAAAATACTAATTAAAAAGAAATAAGCAGAAGCCTGGGGAAAAGTGGAAATGCCACAGTTTTGGTTGAGACTGCCATAGAGAATTTGTGACAACTAAATTCTTTTGGCCAGAATCCAAGGGAGCCTTGGGATGGTGGGTTGGGCTGCTATTAGAAACAGGTTGTCTGATGAAGCAAAATGATATACATGAAAATATCTTAGTTAAAGGTAAATCCTGTCAAAATATCACATAAACAAAATGTCAGATAACTCATTTTTTCTTGAAAGGTAAATAGGGAAAGAAAGTGAATTTTATCCTGGATTATAAAGATGTGTCTAAAGAGAAGTACATTGAGTTCAACTAAGTCAGTAAGAGCGCTAAAATAGAGTGTGGGTTAAAGCATTCAAATTCCCTTTCTGGCGTGTGTGTGCGGGAGTTGTCAGAACTGAGTTGACCAAGGGAAAGTAAATATCTATTTGTAACTGTCTAAGGTTTGCCTTTGTAAGTAGAAACAAATGTTATTTTGTATTTCATCATTTATAAAATGCTTTTTAGCCATTTCCCCATACCAACAATGTGAACCAGATAAGGCAGGTATTATTACTTTTAGTTTACTGAGGAGGAAATTGAAGTATACACGTCCACATTGTCATGATTAATGATTAATACTGAGAACTATAAACCTTATGATTTTTCCCCTTCATTTCTTCTCAAAAATTGACATTTCAGTATATCTCTTCTGGGGTTTAAAAAAAAAAAAAAAAAAGCAAGATTTTAGTTTCCCAATCCTTCAGAAAAGAAATCTTTTCTCTGTTAGACTCTGGGAGGAAAATAGGGTAAATATTTTTTTCATGAAAAAAAAAAATGCAATATTCATTCAACCAGCCAGCTGATTTCAGTAAATTTCTATAAATTAATTCAGGATCCAATTAATTTACAGATATAAGCATGAGGAAACTTAATTTAACTTACAAAATTCACTATAATAATACTATTATCTGACTACTGGATTACCTTAATTACTATAATGAAGAGTAGAAAAAAAACTACATTGCAACTCTAGGATTTAACATTTGAATACAATTGCTACCAAATGCCGAGATAAGATTGTCTGGCTAAGATGATCATTCCTAAAACTACAGAGTCTACCCACACCCCCTTTTTTTCAGTAGGATCCAGACCCAGAGTGGAGCCCAATGCAGGGTTTGAACCCACAATCCTGAGATGAAGGGTCAGATGCTAAACCAACTGATCTACCCAGCACCCCATACCTTTGTCTTTAGGAGCATGAAACAGAACACTGAGAAAGGCTTTGCTCGGAATTGTTCAGACAACCTTCATGTTTGCTTCTGTTGAAGGACTGATTTCACTTGGTGATTATAGCCTAAGCTCCAATAGAAGCATGTATTCTGGCCTCTCTGTCCTTAAAGATACAAGGCCTAGGATGGGGATTCGGCCACTTTGGCTTATTATAATTAGGCCAAATAACATCCTGCTGGTGTTTATTTCCATAACAACGGGTTTCACAGAGTGAAGAATGGGAAGGGTTTTGGGTGGCCTACATTAGAACAAAATTACCATTACAATGACAAAGAACAAGGGTGACAGTTGTGGACCAAATGTATTTTTCTGGGAAGTTAATTAACGAGTGCTTTTGCATCCCAAATGTTTACAGGGTGGTTGCACATCATATTTCTTCAAGCGGTATTCTAGCTCATACAGTAATCTGCCAGTGTACTAACTTTTCCGGTTTGTCCTTTTTGTTTTTGTTTTTAACATAGTTAATAGAAAAGGGAAAATTACCAAGTCCACAGGCAATTTGACCAACAGGCCCTGGAAAAACATTTGTGAAATCCCAAGGTCTGCAAACTTGAGTAAAGGCTGTCTTGTGAAATCCACACTTGGACCACTGATGATGAGTAAGCAGCAGCTTCCACTCTGTCATATGTGTTCTCTCTCACCCAAATGTACACCCTCACAACAAACAATTCCTCCATCTGGAACATGAGGACTTATCAAAACATGTCCAAAGTTAAGGTGAAAACCCAGATATGTTGAGGCACTGGCGCTTTTCTCTTCTTAGAGAGTAGGTATAAAGGAAAACAAAAGAAAGCAGAGGGAGTAGAAGGAGGAATGATGTTTCTACCCATTGTCTTTTTAGGATTTCAAGCATTTCTGAGGTTTCATAATGTGCAGGTGGTATTTTATGCTTACTTACTGAAGAAGTGTTTCACAATCAATTCAATTCCACTAAAGCTTATTGGAAACTGGGGGGAAAGGGTATGGAGAAGACTGAAAATTGCTACTTTTTCACTTTAAAAAAATCCTTTTCCTATCTTTGAAAATGTTTTGGATAGAAACGCACAAGTTATTTTACCGTCCTTAAAGATATTCTCTCTCATCTGTTCACCATTTTTTCCCCTGCCCATCTTCCTCCATACTTTTGAGGTTGTGTACTGAGAAATTCCAAAGACCATTCTGTCCACCACTGGAAAGCATTTTGGTTCTAGAAAGGCTTTTGAATTATCCTAAAACTGAGGCAGGACTTAAGCACTCTGGCAATACATGAAACAAAATGGAGGCACCTTGATTCGCATTTCAAAACCCTTTTGATGTGACACTTTCCCAGTAAATTACACAGGACATAAGATTTCATCCGATGAGAAACAAACACATGTAACAACCTCTTTTATGAGGTTAGTCATTCCGCAGGATATTTTTCCCCCCGAAGGAATTCCATGCCCTACAAATTTAAGCTATATGCTTTTTATCTTAAAGAGGCCAGCATCCTCATATCATAACTGGTAAAAGAAGGAACACAGAACCCAAAGTAGTTTGGGGATCTTGCCTCCATTGTCAGACTAAGTATTTTTTTAAAATTTCTTGGAAGAGTAAAATCAACTGGCTCTACTTATGCTTTTCTGCATCTCTGGACAGCATAAAGCACAGTTCTGAGATATTGTTCTAACTCAGTTGTAAATGAGCAAACAAAACCCCCCAAACAACCAAAAACCTAAAACCTAGTGTCTTTGAGCAGTGTTCTCAACCATCACTTTAGCATCACCTGGAGGGCTATTAAAAACACAAATTACTGGACAACTCATACCCTCCCTCCTGAGTTTCCGATGTCATTGATCCGATATGGGACCTGGGAATTTTCATTTCCCACGAAAATTCCCAGGTAGTGCTGATGCTGCTAGTCTAGGGACCGCCCTTCGAAGTCCACTGTGCTATCCAAAATTTCTGATGACCTACTCCAAATTATGCTACTTCAAGTTTCTCTGCATGTGTTCCGGAAAGGAGCCCCATCCGTTTGGTGCCAGTGCCATTTAGGAAAGATGATCTGTTTGGGATTTACCCAAGCACATTCCTTCCTAGGCCAGTCACTGACGCGAAGACATAAGAGGGCAGATAATCGCTGGACAGTTGCAGAAGGTCAAACGAACCCACTCGTTGCAGAATCTACCCTAGCACGTGACCGCTGGACTTCTACACCCTCATCCTCCTGCCTTCTCTCCACCCCCGGGCCAGACAGCTCCAGGATCCCCGGCTCGTGGCCCTGACCCGCGATGGCGCTGCTGGGCGCGCTTGTCTGCTGCCTGTTGGTCGTCTGGCATTGCCTTCCCGGGCTCGGACTGCCCCTGGCACCGGGTGGCAGCCCGAGTCCCGCTCCGGCGGTGGGTGAGTCCGCGACCCTTTCCCTGCCGGGAGTTGCCGGAGAGCGCAGAGTTAAAGCGCCCGCGCAATTCGTGAAAAGTGCTTGGGGGCAGCAGTGCGTCCCGGCCGGGGCCGGTGGGGAGTGGAGACCCAGACGCGCAGGGCGCTGGGAGGAGGAGGGTGACTGCGGGACGAGAATGCCTAGCGACCCGCGGAAGGTCGGGCTGGGTCAGCACCTTGCCAGTGGGGGCGCTGCAGGGGGCTGCGGAGACCAGACTCCTCCGGGCGTCCTCGGAGAAAAGACATCTCCGCGTGTCTCAAGGAAAACGGAAGGTAGAAGCTGCAAGTCCCGCGGTCCCAGAGGGCCCGAATCTGCCCAGAACACAGGGGAGCTGCGGAGTTTGCTCTTCCCCACGGGGATGCACATTTCAGTGGGACTCAGGTAGTCTTCTGTCCTGCTCCCCGGATTTGGTGGCCTTTTCTTCCCACTCCAGCAGCGGAGGACCGTCACGGTCTCGATGCTACCCACCTCTTAGTCTATGTTAGAACTCCTGGGACCTTCATTTCACTTTACCTGAATGCCCCTGAGTTCTCTGTGGGTGGGACCAATTGTATTCATTCTTAACACTTTAAGGTAGTAGCTTTTGCCTTGGTGGTTCTCAACGTGTGGTGCGGGGACCAGCAGCATCAGCATTACTTAAATTTGCCGGAAAGGCAGGTTTTTAGCCCACCCCAGACCCATGGAATACGAAACTCTGAGAATTGGGGCTCAACAACCTGTTTAACGAATTTTAGATTTTAGGATGCCTTTTGAGCTTTCAGTTTCAAAGATCAAGGAACCCCTTGCCTCCCTCCCTGACTCTCTTTGAAAAGAATGGCTTTGTTTAGAGGGAGGAAATTTTGACAGGTGGAGTTCTGTATTTTGGGCATAGCTGTCTCTGAAACTCTGCAGTGTTTGGTGCTGAAACCTCTCTTCTCTGAGGTTCTTGCTATCTCACACGACTTTGGAAATGCTCTGAAAATACACCTCCTCTTTGTCCAAGAGCCAAGTTCTCATGACTCAGCTGTCAGGCAGTTGAGAGCAGGAACTGTGAATCTGGTTTCCCAGTTGTCAGTCATAACAAGAAATTGTCCCAAAATACTTATGCACACTGGTTGCTGCTTTTCATTAAGGCTAGTGTTTTTCTTTAATTATGGAACTGTTTAGGATTTTGAGATAAAATGTCCCAGGTTGCGTGGGACCACCCAATGGCAAATTTACTGTTTAGCTTTAGCAATCTGATTGCAGAGGGTCTCAGTGACAGCTTTCTGATGTGTCGGGAATCTTCACTTACACTTCCCTGTTTTGATAAGGAAGCTAAGAGGCTGAGTCACTTAGGGTGGGGGTAGAGACGGAGTAAGTGGGGTTTAAAGACCTGCAGAAGTGTTGACTCAGCAGTTTCACGGGTTATATTATTTGTTTTCTATTTGATGTGACTCTCTCCTCCTGACCACATCCCAAATTGCTTCCTTTGCAACACACACCACGACAGGCCTCTGCTTGTTTGATGTGTGTTGTGTGTAAATTCCCAGTCCTGTCAAGCCCCAGGGGCCAGAGGACAACACCCAGGGAGACCTTACCTAAGTGTGTTTGTCTACAACTCTTTAGAATTAGGGGCACCAGGGTGGCGCAGTCGATTAAATGTCCGCCTTTGGTTCAGGTAATGATCCCAGAGTCCTGGGATCAGGTCCTGAACCAGGCTCCCTGCTCTGTGGCGAGCTTGTTTCTCCCTCTCCCTCTGCCTGCTGCTCCCCCTGCTCGTGTTCTCTCTCTCATTCTCTCTCTCTGTGTCAAATAAGTACCTAAAATCTTAATAAAAAAAAAAAAAAAGGAATTAGTAGGTCAGACCTGCAGGAATAATTTGGTAGGAACTGACATTATAAGCAAGCAAACAAAAATACCTATTTGAAACAATAACCATATGTCCAAATATCTGAATTATGGTTTACTAGGTTCTTTAGGATAAATTAGAATGTTTTTAGATAAATTATAAGGGTTTTTTTTTGGTATAGTGTTGAGCATTTATCTATATATATTGAGAACACACACAAGCATATACACATACATTTGTGGAAATCTTGTTAAATATTATCTGCAGAATAAGAGAAAAATCATCGTGGAGTGACAAGAACTTGGGACTGCAAACCAGAGAATCTGTAGCAGAGTGTGGGCTCTGCCACAGGCCAGGTTTGTGGCCTTAGACACACACACACACACACATACACACACGGAGTACTTTATCTCTAATTTCACTAGAGGTGGGAGGTGAGGCCTCCAGAGGTTCATTATTCATAAATCCCAGGTTAAGAACCTGGCAGAGTTCTCTTGGCTTCTATTTAAAGACTTTCTTCAGTGCATCTAAATAATTACCCCCTCACTTATCTGGATCTGGCAAGGCAATGTAGTGGAAAGAGCACTCGATTGGAAGTCTGGAGAGACTTGTTCTGGTTCAGCTTTCATTACTGAGTCACCGGGTGATCTTGAGGAAATCCTGAAACCTGCCTGTGCGTAATTAAAAAATGTTTATTGAGGGCCCACTATAGGTTAGACATCTTCCAGTTACAAAGGATCCATGAATCTAGATACTAGAGATGTGTTCTTAACATGTTTCCAGTTTGGGTTTATAAAATTTTAATATATTTATTATCTTGTGTATCTTAATCATCACATTATCTCATGTAGGTGTTGTCATCTACTTTACGTGAGGCAAGTGGGACAGAAGGACATTTGAAGGTGAGCGCACACAAAGAGACAAAAGTAGTGCAGTGGTTAAGAGCAGCATGGAAACCGGAGTTAGATTTCCTGAATCTCTGTCTCAACTCTGTTGTGTCTGACACACGTGACTTGAATTAATCCTTGTGTGCTGGCAATTCCTTACCTGTAAATTGGAAATAATGATGAGTTAATGCATGTAAAGCATTAAAAAAAAAAAAAAGCACGAAACTTATAGTAAGTACTTGATAAATTCTAATTCTTACTTGGAAATGAGGAGGTTCAATCTCAAATTCAAGCTTGGGGTCAAATAATAACAGTATAACTATCATGGAGTTTAGTTACCTAGATGCCAGGTATCTTCTAAGAGCTTTACTTCTACTAAATCACTTAACTCTCATACAGGAGGCAGTGATAGTCTTCCCATTTTGCAGAGAAAACAAGTCAAGATCACCCTGTTAGATTAGTAAGTGGAGCTTGGATTGATTGATTGGTTTTTAAAGTTTATTTGAGAGAAAGACAAAGAGCAGGGTGAGGAGGGGCAGAGGGAGAGGGAAAGAGAGACTTAAGTAGACTTTGTGCTGAGCATGGAGCTGCACGGGGGGCTCGATCTCATAACTCTGAGATCAGGACCTGAGCCGAAACCAAGAGGTGCGAGCTCATCCAACTGCACTGCTCAGGCACCCCTGGAGCGTGGATTGAAAGTCATGGTAGTCTCACTTTGGAGTCCCCACTCTTAACCGCAACACTATACTGTTCTGTGTGCAGTTTATTGTACCTTAACATTCTGCCAGCAATTAAAAAAAAACATATTTGCATAAAAATAAGATGTACTGTATATTTAAACGCCAAGAAGGACAGACTCCAGGATGATTCTGAGCTGCTTGCCAACGCTGCTTTGTGTGCCAGCTAAAGTATGTCTAAGCTAAAAATGAAAGTTGGAGTATTTTTCTGCACTAAAGAATAAAATAAATCACTCTTGGCAAAGGTTTTCAAACGGGAACAGAATACCAAGTAACTGATCATAAAGACTGCTTTATGTCTACTTTCTTCTGGCTCTTTTGTCTACCACTTCTTAGCTGTCAACTTAAATATGTTACAAAATTGTAACAATGTTGTGGAGAAAAAAAAAAAAAACCCAAATATAACTTACCTTTTCCACCTTAACAAGTTAACCATTTTCAGTTTTTTGCTCTATTATCCCAGCTTTGGGTTCTTTTCAGGTGTTTGCTCACATCCATATTCAGTCTTTGTCATCTTCGTCCAGACAGATGAAAGTTCGCCTTCTACTTGTTTGCTCCACGTTTCTGCTGTAGGATCTGCTGCTATGTCACATCCGACATCTTTGGAGACAACTTAGTCATCATCAGAGTGAACTCAAAATTCAAAGTGTGAAAAAGCCTCAATATTAAAATAATTTATTGACTACAAATGAGAAGGCAGCAAAATCTTAGACTATATATGTAAATGAGGTATAAGCAAACTGGAGGACCTTTCAAAATGGGGTTCAGATTTTGACTCTGCCTTTTATTAGCTGTGTATTAGCTGAACAAATTTCCTAATTAATCCAGCATTCATTTCTCAACTCTAAAATGAGAACAGTGATTCCCGCTTCAAGTTTTGAGAACAAAATGACATAGTGTATTTAGTTTCCTTATTATAATGCCTGGCACAAATGCTTAATAAAGAGTGGTACTACTGTGATTATTTGTACTAATATTTCCTTTAATTAAAGAATCTTTCCCCTGCTCTCAGGTGGGTTCTCGGTTTCTCCCTGAGGTTTCTTCCTTTTTAACAAATGCTTTCTTAATATTACTAACATTTGGTACAAGCGTACATTAGGAGATGTTCCTGTATTTAGTACCCTTTCAGGGCTTCTGGAAATCCCTACTTTTGGCTTAAAGCTAGTATTAAAATGTTATATTCTTTTCCCACTAATGTTGAGAGGCAAGGATTTTCAAGAAAGTAGGAGTGAGATTTAGTTCCTCATTCTGCAATCTCTTCACTGTGGAACCCTAACAGACCACATCATGGTTCTATGTCAGTTTTTCCACAAGAAGAACATAAGTAATTTCTAAAACCTCAAATTCTGCAAGGAAGGAAACATACTATTAAGACAGGAAATATATTATTAGTGACCTCCTGGAAGGATATCTCCCTATATTTCATTATGCAACTTATGTTTGTTATGTAGTCTTTGTTAGGTAGTCATGCTGTCCAAGAGCTCTTGCGTGCTGACACGTGTAAGTAGCAAATTTTGGTAAATTCTTCCTGCTGTCTTTGGAATCCTTATCTTCTGACAGGGAAGTATTGTATTTACCTTCAGGGCAAATGAATATTTCAATCGTTAAGGCTTTCCTCCATCCCAGGGAGGACTGTCTCTAGTTTTACTGTAAATATTTTGACGGGAATTCCTAAACACAAGTAGATTTAACACCATTTCTTTTCTAATCAACAGGACAGTTTTGGCACGTGACTGACTTGCACTTAGACCCTACTTACCACATCACAGATGACCACACAAAAGTGTGTGCTTCATCTAAAGGCGCCAATGCCTCCAATCCTGGCCCTTTTGGAGATGTTCTGTGTGATTCTCCGTATCACCTTATTTTGTCAGCATTTGATTTTATTAAAAATTCAGGACAAGAAGCATCTTTCATGATATGGACAGGGTAAGTGATTATATAAATACCGTTAGTTATTCAATATTTACCTACAGTGTCCTAAGCTTCATTAGAATGCTGAATTCCTATAAAGATTAACTGGGCTTTAAGTTAAGAGTTATTTGGGTTTTAAAAATACTATGTCCAGTTAATCATTAGATTATTAGAGATATGGAAGATTTTAGAAGTCTCAGAATTTTAAATTTGTTTAGAATACTGGCTCTAGAAAAATGTTGGTGTTAGCTAAGAGATGACTTCACAGAACACTCATATCAGTGTTTTGAGGTGTTTTTTAATGTGATAATAGGTCTTGATTAAATAATCAAAAACAAAAGGCTACAATGGGAGTTAATCTGTGATAGCAATTTTGTAAATATCATCTTCTGGTAGTATAATTAGTTAATTCTATCTGTCATGACAGAGTGATGAGATCCATATTTCCTGTGCCAGCAATAATAACCATGGTGTTATTTAACTAATTTATACATTATAATTCACTTAATATTTACAATTTATATTATTATTATTCTGATTTTATAGATGAAGAAATGTAGGCTGAGCTTCTAAGTAACTTGTTCAAGTGCACATAGCTAGTAAGTGGCAAACCCAGGCATTTTAGCTCTGGAATCTGTGCTTTTAGTTGCTAAAATACTTGCCTCTCATAAATCTTCAGTCAGGCAGAATAATAGGCTTGTATTTGTATTACACAGATTTTTAAAAATAGGACTCCCTGTGGGAAAAAGGTAAATGAAGAATAGCTGATCAACTTTTCAGCAGTCATCTGTTGTTTTGTTGTGGAAGGTGTGCGGTTCACCTTCAGGGCAACAAGGCATCATGCATAAATCTAGTGACTTTTTATAGAAATTGATTTTGTTCTTGGGGTGCCTGGGTGATCCAGTTGGTTAAGCAGCAGACTATGGATTTCAGCTCAGGTCATGATCTCAAGGTCCTGGAATTGAGCCCCACACCAGGCTCCATACTCGGCAAGGGGTGTGCTCGAGGGTTCTTTCTCCCCCTCCCCCTCTGCCCCTCTCCCTGCTTGGACTCTCTCCTTCTGCCCCTCTCCCTGCCCATACTCCTCTAAAATAAACAAATAAATCTTAAAAAAAAAAAAAAAGTTTAGAAATTGATTTTGTTCTCTACGATTCTGTCTCCTTTTCAGGGATAGCCCACCTCACGTTCCAGTGTATGAACTCTCAACAGATAAAGTCATAGATGTGATTGCTAATATGACAACCACCATCCGGACTGTCTTTCCAAATCTCCAGGTGTTCCCTGCACTGGGTAATCATGACTATTGGCCACAGGTAAATTTGATTTCAACTTCCAAAAGTGTTTTTTTTTTTTTAATATTTTATCGATTTATTTGAGAGAGAGAGACAGAGTCAGAGATAGTGACAGAGATAGCAAGAGCAAGCACAAGCAGGGAGAAGTGGGAGAAGCATGCTCCCAGCTGAGTGGGGATCCTGATGTGGGGCTCCATCCCAGGAGCCTGGCATCATAACCTGAGCTGAAAGCAGTCACCCAACCCATTGAGCCAACCAGGTGCCCCCAACTTCCAAAAGTGTTTAAAGGGTTTTTCCCACCGGGAGTGTCAAAGCTATAACAATAACTAGCTGGTGGTAAGGCATGGGATTGGGGCTCATGGTGGTAGAGTATGCTCTTAATAACTATTGAAGAAGGTAAGATAAGTGCTTTAGAGACTTCAAAGTGATTCTTAATAATCTGTAAAAAGAGTTACATCCATAGTGAGTTTTGGAAGCAAATTGCCTTAGTTTGATTTTTGTTTTCCTTCATATTCTTCTTTAATTTCTACTTTCTTTTGAATAATTTTGTTGTTCATTCACATTTCCATGATAAGGTTAGCAAGGAAGTTTAATATTGACAAATGTTTACATATTGCAGAATTTCTATCACGCATACAAAGTTCTCCACACTCTGATCTGTGCTAGATTATGATTAAAAACAAAAGCATAGGGGAGTTTGGGTGGCTCATTTGGTTAAGTGTCTGCATTAGGCTCAGGTCATGATCCCAGAGTCCTGGGATTAAGCCCCTTGTCATGAACCCTGGTCAGCGGGAGTCTGCTTCTCCCTCTCCTCCCTGCTCATGCTCTCTCTCCGAATCTCTGTTTTTCTCAAATAGATAAATAAAAAATCTTAAACAAACAAACAAATATAGCAAACTATCATAAGTACCAAAGAGGAGGTTCCTGTTCAAGTCCAGTTTATCTAATTAAGATGTGATTCAAGACAGAGATTATGTTCAGAATATTTGCCTCCTGATAAGCCCAGGTCTCAATCTATTACAGTGACTGTTTGCTAAGCAGCCTGTAGATAACTGTGGGATGTTGGGCCTTGCCTGTAGGGTCCTGTTAGAGCAGAGCAGTGTAGAATCTTAGACTTGCACAGATTCAAGAGATCTCAGAGATTGTTTTTTAGCTGAGGGCTTGGCAAACTGTGACCTATGGTCCAATCTGGGCCTGCACCTTGTTTTTGTTAATGAAATTTTATCATAACAGAGCCATGGCTCTTCTTTCTGTATTGTTCGTGGCTGATTTTTTATTTTGCACTAGAACAGCAGAGTAGAATTGTGGCTGCAAAGACTGTATGGTCCATAAGCTTAAAATATTTATTATTTGGCCCTTTGTAGGAAAAGTTTGCTGGCCCTTGGTCTAGATCAACTCTTCATTTTATAGACGAGAAAGACAGAGGCCCAGAAATGTCGTATTGCTTGTTCACATGCTCATACTCACTTGGTGGTAGAGCCCACATCCCGGATCTTTGGTGTTCAATTAGACTAACATCCTTTCATAAATCCCTTGTTCTTGCCAGATTCACAGCTCAGTATTCCTGAACATGGTATTTTTTCCCCTACCTCTCTTTGTCTAGATGTATCTCCTTGCTTAGAATATCTTTTCCATCTCATTTTAAAAGAATGCTTCATGAGGGGTTTGATAACCTAAGCGCAGTGATTTTGAAAAGTTGTACTCTAGGATGAGCTTCAGTTTCGAGAAACTTCTTGACACTGGTCTCCAGGCTTGAGATGAACAATAAATACATTAGTCTTTGTGAGTTATTCATGTAAGCCAGTGGTCAACTTTGTTACTGCTGAGATGTTAGACCACACAGGGCAGAGGCTTGGGAATTTCCTAAAAGATAGATCTATTTATTTATTTATGTATTTGAGAGAGAGAAAGAGAGAGTGAGTGAGAGGGGGAGGGACAGAGGGAGAGAGAGAATCTTGAAGCAGACTCCCCGCTGAGCTCAGAGCGCGATGTGGGGCTCAGTCACAGGACCCCAAGATCATGACCTGAGCTGAAAACAAGAGTCAGTTGCCTAACTGACTGAGCTACCAGATGCCCCAAGCACCTTGTTTTTATATGCTTATGTGACAGGCAGATTGGTGTAGTGGAGAACACGTGGGATTTAGAGTTATAGTCACTAGAATATAAAACCCTATGGTGCTCTGCTCCTAATAGCTTGACCAACTTGGATAATTCACTTAATGTCCTTGACGTATAAGTCACTAATTTGTAAATAGGAGCAAGAATATCTGCCCTGGAAAGTTTTTGTGAGAATTAGTGATATTACATGAAAAGTCCATAGCTTCCTACCTGGCACATACTAAGTGGAGTGGTAGTTATTACAACAGTAAGCAGTGACATGGGATACATCTTTCCTAACTCCTTTGGGGATTTGTTTCATCTTCTTTTTGTGAAGTCAAATCCTGTAATAATTCAAAGGATAGATGATATCCAAACTCTAAAATATATCCTACTACATGTATAGCTAGGGTGTATTGGGCAGCCTGTATACCTTAAAGAGTTAGTTTTTTTCTCATTCTAGCTTATAACTTTATATCTGAAAATCTCCTTTCTATTATTCTACTTCCACCCTTCCTCCCCAATTCCTGAAATGTCAAATGTAATATGCAGCAATAACAGATTCCCACAACAAATTCTTCTACAGATGGAGAGCTGAGGTCAGCTTCTGGTGAATTATGTTAGTAACAAATCAAGCAAATAATTTGTTAAGTATTATTTCTCTATTATAATCTCATAAACATGCACACAAACATAGTTACATAAGCATACACATACAGGTGCACCTCCCCATTCATTACATCAGAAGTAGATATTAGCGTGGGCAGCCTGGGGATTCCTTCCAGTCACCACCCAAGGAAGCAGTCTGGGCCAGGGTCCTCATTTACTCCTACACTGGCAAGGCTGGTGCCAACAAACTTATGGGTGAGTCACTTCTCATTATACCTCGTTTCTCGGCAGTGCTCATGTCACAGCCAAAGAGGATTGAGATGATGGCATGGTACAACAGATAATTGGACATAGGAGTGATGGTGGAAAGACCTGGGATTTAGACCGAGCTCTGGAACTGACCAGCTGTCCCCGGATGAATCATCTAACTTCTCTGGTGCTCATATTTCTCACATCTAAAGTTGAGAGAAGAGTCTAGTGTGATTTTACATAATTTTAAGATTATACATGACCATACCGGTATGTTGGCATGGCTGTATGGCCCATAAGCTTAAAATATTATACATCAATGGCTAACACTTTGAGGTTTTTGATGTTGATGATGATAACCAATTTTTAATCAAGATCCAGATTGACCTGTAAGGCTTCGTGTGATTTTTCAGACAGATAATTCTGGTATCTGACATGAATTGAAAATATACTTAGGATAGTTAGTTCTAGTTAGAACAAGTCATTTGGATATTACATTCCCTCAATGTAGTTCTATTTTCATCATGTATGAGGGATATGTATTAGGAATTAATGTGCCTTGGATGTCATCTGAAAAATAACTAAACATTTTAACTAATGCTGACAGGAAACTCTTTTAAGAAATAGGCCCATATCACCAATATGCAGAAGAATATGAGGAGAGTAGAAAAATGGCTTCAATTTATTAATGCAATTTTTTAAAACAAAAAATAGGAATAATTACAAAATTTCACACATAATTTGTGGATTTTTATTCAGTATGTACTTTCTTAAAGTTTGGGGTTTTTTTCCCCTTCCTTAAAGCTTATGTCACCATAAAGATTCTTTATTATAATACGATAAATTGGGATGATAAAAATACTTTGATATTAAAAAAGTTTTATATACATGTTGTCTAAAAAACCAAAACCTGTTGCTATAAAGAGACTTCTTCAAATCAAAAGCATGTGTTTATAAATTTTCATTCAAGAAGTTCAGAAGTTTTATACTGGGGTGAGCATTTCAGAGGACTTTGTTTAGTTCTAAAATCATGACATTTCCTCCATTCTATTAGCGTGCTATACCAGGCCCTGTGTGTTCGGGCTCAAACCTGCCTCTGTGTCTCTTTGATGAGCTCATTCCCACATCCATCCTATATACTGGCCAACCAGTACAAGTGCTTTTCTCTCTATATAACACTGTGTGTGCTGGCATCTGGGTCATTGTCTTTGCTTTGATGCCCTTTCTTTTCAACTCAGCCTGGTTTGTATGCTCTCTTCACTTTCCGCCCTGACGCTATGGGCCAGACTCAATTATTCACATCTCTACCCTCCTAGAACCTTTGTGGTAGCACCTGCACATTGTCACATTGTCTTATAGGTGATTGGTTTTATATATATATATATATATATATATATATATCTCCTTATGTTATAAATTCCTGAAAAAGTAAATCTATCTCGTATTCATCCTTGCATCTCCTGATGTCTAACATAGTAGTATGTGCTCAAGTAATGCTAAAATTAGTTAACCCATGTCTCTTTAAAGTTTTAATGGTGGGTTACATTGTTTGTGGGCAGGATCAATTACCTGTAGTCACCAGCAAGGTGTACAATGCAGTAGCGGACCTGTGGAAACCCTGGTTAGATGAAGAAGCACTTCGTACTTTAAGGAAAGGTAAGTGAAAGATGTATTCATCCCTGTTTCATCTCTATTTTTATTCCTGTTGTTTCAGCTAAGATCTTTAATTTCACACGGGTGTAGTCGTTCTGGATATGCCCAGATTTCTGGAGGCCGTAAGTCATCTTTGAAAGCTGAGGAGAGGCAGGGATGGTGAGTGGATCCGGGACAAAGAGAGCAGGTCCAAGGTCAGGTGCTAGGTTTGAAAGTACCATTGCAGCAGCCCCTTGGGTGTTGTCACCACCAGATCGTGGGTATGAGTCTCCCCCACCCCGGAGACTGTAGCAGCTCTGGTTTCTCTGACATCAGTTCCATAGCAGTCTCTGGCAAGGTCAAAATGGGTTCCCATTTTTGCATTTGGTATTTCACGCTCTCATCTTAACTCCCCAAACATGCAGAAGTAGAAGTTGACGCACTAAGATTTCTTTTAAAAAATTCGGAACCTGGTTGCCTAGTGCCCAAACACTTTATTAATGTTTCATCTGACTATTGGATACACCTGTTGTGATTAGCTCAGTATGTGGAAGGGCTGCCTCTGGACCTGGCACACAGTAGGTTCTCAGTAAGTGTTAGACCTGATTCTTATTTAATGACAGCCTGTGTACATACAAACTAAATGATGACAAATAAGTATAACCTTTCCAATTGGCTTGTAAACCATAATTAAGAATTTGCTTTCATAGTCACTGTGAATCTCTGTGTGTGTTTTTCTAGAGTGTGTCTTAAATTTCTTTTTATAGGTGGCTTTTATACACAGAAAGTATCACCTAACCTGAACCTTAGGATCATCAGTCTAAACACAAACTTGTACTACGGCCCAAATATCATGACTCTGAATGAAACGGACCCAGCAAATCAGTTTGAATGGCTAGAGAGTATACTGAGCACTTCTCAGCAAAATAAAGAGAAGGTAGATCCCAGACACCAAAATCTATCATGGGATAAAAAGGGGCTAGATGTGTGTATTTATTAACTTGAGTGGGGTCAGGTGTTAATAAAAGTATTAAAATTTGAAGATGTTTTCACATGAAACACCTTATGGTTTAATTAACTCTATTGTATTTTTTTATTTTGCTTTGCTTTTAATGCTTTGAGGATTGATATCTGTTTTTTTATTTAAAAAAATTGTGACCAAGGTCACAGTTACCAAATATCATCAACAGTGTAGTTTAAATGATATTAATATGATATTGATAGTTTTATAATTTCATCTTTTTTGGTGATAGGAGAGGTAGAGATGGGATATTAGCTTTTTAAATTTTTAATTAGTATAATTTCAGTCTTGGGTATCCAAATGTTAGTTGGTTGTGGTAAGTGTGCAAAAAGATTCTCATCGGTCATCCTTGTGTTTCTATTTCCAGGTGTACATCATAGCACATATTCCAGTGGGCTATCTGCCCTATTCAAGCAGCACCACAGCAATGAGAGAATTCCATAATGAGAAATTGATAAATATTTTTAGAAAATACAGCAGTGTCATTGTAGGACAATTTTATGGACACACTCACAGAGATAGCATGATGGTTCTTTCTGATGAAAAAGGTAATATGATACTCTGTTTGCATCTCCCCAGTTCAAGATGCTAGAGCAGAACAGTGGCTAGCTGGTAATCTTGAACTGATCCAGCAAATTAAAAGTTTCACTAAGTCAACCTGCCAGCGATAAATTTTTCTGAATTATCTTCTACGCTTGTAAGTCAAGTGTATAATTTATATTTAGACCTGCAATTGTGTTTCTCCCTATTTGTTCCATGGGGCCACCATCATTTGCTAGCTGTCAACAAAAAAGTCTCTGAAACCCTCAGCTTACTCCACTTTTCTTTTAGATCCTCAAGTCTGGACAAATACTGCTGTTCGTTATTTACCTCCTAGACGCGTCTCTTTTGATATGACTTGTTTTATTTCTCAGAATTTAATTAACAAAATACAATCTACCGTTGGTTTAAAATATATCAAGCACTTAATTTTAAGTGTAAATCAACATTGTCATCTACTCAGGATTAAAAGAAAAAAAAATAGAAGAAGATTGAGCATCAAACAAACAATGATGACCTATTTTTAAAGATGACTTCCTTGCAAGAAGAGGAAATTGGGAGTTAACAAAATAAGAGTTCTGATTTTAGAGTAGTGAGCCAGGAAAAAAATATATACATATATTTTTTCAGCAATTGGGGAATGTTTTTGAAATACATTACCTCTTTTGTCTACAATGAATAAACTTGGTTAAAAAAAATGACCAGTTTTCAGCATTTGATAGCTTTTTTACTCAGAAATTTAGTCCTATAATAACTATGTATTAGAAACATGGTGACACTAATCAGATTCTTATGTGTCATTATTGGTTTTTGTTCTAGGTAGATGTATAGAACAAACTAGTTTTGTATCTGTGTGTGTATTTGTAATAACTTGGGTTTTATTATTATGAAAAATTTCAAATATACCCAAAAGCAGAAAATAATAAAACAACCCCCATGTACCATCATTTATATTTAACACTATCAAGATTTTGCCACATTTGCTTTACCTATTCATTTTTTAATTCTTTTTTCTTTTCCTCAAGTATTTGAAAGTGAATCTCAAACATTAGATCTATTCTAGCCCTACGTTCTTCTATCTGCATTGCTAAAATATGTGACTAGCTTATATAACCATAATATGATTGACTTATCTAACAAGATCGACAATAATTTTTTGGTATCATCTAATACCAAATCAGAATAAAGATTCCTCTATTTTCTCAAGTGTCTCTTTAGAGTTGTTTCAAGTCCGGATTCATCAAGGATCCTATGTCATTTGACTGTTTCATCTGTTAATGTCTTAATCTTGAATTTGTTCATATTTTTAATAAAGTTAAAATAATTTAAAAAAATGTTAATGTACATATGTCTTATCCAGGAAGTCCAATAAATTCCTTGTTTGTGGCTCCTGCTGTTACCCCAGTCAAGAGTGTTTTGCAAAAACAGACCAACAATCCCGGCATCAGACTATTTCAGTATGATCCTCATGATTATAAATTATTGGTGAGTTGGCACAATTTTAGAACTATGCTTGTCTTTGTACAGTTTTCATTAGTTTAGCTGAATGTTTTCAGTTTAACTGTGTAGTTTCTATCTTGAAATCTTGTGATGTCTTCTTTTTTGTATTTGGCTTATCAGCACTTGCTAAGTATGGGTATAGGATGTCACCTTTTGGGAGGTGGTTTCTGCCCTCCTGAGGACTTCACATTCCTTTAGCACACGGGGCAAAGTCTGAGTTGTGGACTTGGATACATACTGAAGCTTTGCACTAAGCCCTATTTGTTACTAATTACTCTTCTCTAAAACATAGCCGTGAAGGTAACTGTAGATTCTGAAACTGTACTCTCAAGAGTTGTTCTACTTAACTTTCTTGTCCCTAGTCCATTCCTCTGTAAAACGAGGCTTAAACTAAGTATGACTGACCTCACAGAGTCACTGCGAGGGTTACGTGAATGAATATATGTAAAGCACTTAGAAAAACGCTTGGCTTATAGTAAGCACTCGATACCTGTGGGCAAATTTTTTTTGTAGAGAAAATAAATTGAGCTGGACACTTATTTTTGTGACAAAAGTTCTCTGGAGCTTGTACACGACAATGTTTTAGATCAATTTAGCCTCAAAAGGCTGGGTGTTTTTCTTATGAGTACAGTCCCTTTTAATTCATTTAATTTGAAAAGAAATTTTCAATTAAAGTCTCTGTTGATGTAAATGCATTTTTTTTCTAGGTAAGTTTAATGGGAGGTAGCTCTCTTATTCTGTAGAATGTGTTTTTATGAAGGAAGAAGGGCGGGGGAAGCCTGATTTAATTCATAAACACTAGATTAAATGAGGAAATAAAACAGTTGACTGAATTATTTTTACAACTATTAGTTTCCTTTTTATGGATCTGAGCATCAGACACACACACATGTATACATACATATATATACTGACATGAAAAGTTGCCATGATACAGCACTGAATTATTTTTAAAAGTGCAAAACAGTGCATTGTATAACTTCATTTTTTGAAAAAGCCAAAAAGATAGTAAATGGGTATATATATTCTAAATATTTATATTTGTTTTGCACATAAAGTCTAGAACAACACACATACACTGGTGCTGATAAATGTTTAACAGTTGTCCATTGGGGGAAAAAGACACTTTAGTTTATAGTGCCAATTTCCATGATATAGATACTCCCATCATGGCCAATTTAAAGCTGCCAAAGTGATGTCAGTTAACTTGCAAGATTGCTAAAAATTTGATCATTCGCTCTGTGAGCTGATACAAGCTGCCTCAGAACATCACTGATTTACGTAGAGTGATTTTATTAGCAGTGGTTACTTCTGAGGTGTGTGAATCAAAGCTTTTTATTTTGTACATCTTTCTGTATAGCTTAGACTATTTTCTATTATGTTCCCTCATTATTTTCGATAAAAAAAATGTAATACAGATTTTTCTATTGGGACTTTTTTTTTTTTTTAACAAAACCAATTCTCACTGTTTTTAACTGGCTGCAACTTTAAATTAAGAATGTCACATAAATCCAAATAAGGACTCTTCTTGCTGTGCAGTACTTTATATGCCAAAGAATGAACCAAGCGTTGTGACTGTTTTTGATATAGGATATGTTGCAGTATTATTTGAACCTGACAGATGCAAATCTGAAGGGAGAATCTGATTGGAAGCTGGAATATGTGCTGACTCAGACCTACAGCATTGAAGATTTGCAGCCAAAAAGTTTGTATGGATTAGCTAAACAATTTGCAGTCCCAGGCAATGAGCAGTTTCTAAAATACTATAATTACTTCTTTGTGAGTTATGACAGCAGTGTAATTTGTGATGGGAAATGTAAGGCCTATCAAATTTGTGCAATTTTGAGTCTTGATCATAGTTCCTATATAGATTGCCTCAAACAACATTATATTAAGTACCATTCCTAATATTTCATTGTTTGTGTTCATAGAAAATGTAACATTGTTCTGTTTCTGAGAGCAGTGTGTGGGAATTGTTACATAATTCTGTGTGTGTTACTGAGTGGGCAAGCAGAATTCCTACTTTTGCTTTCTTTTTTATAATGCTCAAATGTTGATATTTGTAACATTCTAAATTTTTATTATATCTAATGTAATTGAACTGCCCATTTCTAGAATGCTGTCTGGACGCGAATACCTTTTCTTCCAGTTTATATATCTAATTTAAGCTCTTGTACACTTCTGAAATGGTCATTTATACAATAAAACAAATGATTTCTCCTCAAGTATGATGAATTGTTTTTATTTTTTATATATTTATTTTTATTTAAATGCAGTTAACGTATAATGTATTATTGGTTTCAGAGGTAGAGGTCACTGATTCATCAGTCTTACGTAATACCCAGTGCTCATTACATCATGTGTCCTGCTTAATGCCCATTACCCAGTTACCCCATCCCCCCACCTCCCTTCCCTCCAGCAACCCCAGTTTGTTTCCTATAATTAAAAGTCTCCTACAGTTTGTCTTCCTCTCTGATTTCATCTTGTTTTATTTTTTTCCATGGTGAATTATTATTTTTTTTAAAGATTTATTTATTTATTTATTTATTTATTTATTTATTTATTTGACAGAGATCACAAGTAGGCAGAGAAGCAGGCAGAGAGGAGGAAGCAGGCTCCCTGCTGAGCAGAGACCCCCCCCCGATGTGGGGCTCGATCCCAGGACCCTGAGATCATGACCTGAGCCGAAGGCAGAGGCTTTAACCCACTGAGCCACCCAGGCGCCCCAGTGAATTATTTTTAATAGGAAAAATTTCTTACTTTTTTTTAAAGATTTTATTTATTAATTTATTTGACACAGAGAGAGAGAGAGATCACAAGTAGGCAGGCAGAGAGAGGGGGTGAAGCAGGCTCCCTGCCAAGCAGAGAGCCCAATGCAGGGCTCGATCCCAGGACCTTGAGATCATGCCCTCAGCCAAAGGCAGAGGCTTAACCCACTGAGCCACCCAGGCACCCCAGAAAATTTTCTTTAATTCACTCTTAAAAACTCCTGTGTAAACTGAGGTTTAAGCTGTTTAAATCTCATGTGTAAACTGAGGCTAACATTGTTTCCATACACGGTCTGCGGTTGGGAAAACCCCAAGTTCTCATTTGAGCCATCATGGGACCTGTGAACCACCACAGGACAGGAGATGCTTAGCAGTGTTTACTCAGTGAATGAAGGGGAGTCCTCTTTAGTAACACTAACTTTTAAGGAAGAGAATGTCACAAGCTGTGCTTCTTGTAACTGCAGTACTAGCATAAGGCCGAGATCCTCATCCAGGGTCTCACACTTAGAAAATCATGGTCGAAAGGCATTGAAAGGTATTAATATTTCTCAGAGAAATATGTGAGGATGCAGCAGTGGTGTTTTCTTTGTCACGATACTCTAAGAGAGGGAAAAAATGAGCCTTTGTTTTGTGGGATTGTTTTTGGCTTCTTCCATGGTTGCTTGCCTCTCACCAGCTTCTCTCAAGCTGTTTGTGAGGTTAAGTGGGAGAATTTGAGTAGAAGAGCAGGTGAAGAGTCCCAGGGATTTAGGAAACCTCAGTACTTTGGTCAAGCAACAAGAAGAGTAAAGCTCATTATCCTGTGACTGGTTTGACTTTGTGTTAAAAAAAAAAAAATGTGTAAGATCGCAACATAATGACACTAAATTATTCTGATTGCCAAAGGCCTGAGAATACAAATATTGCAAAATAAAAATATAATATGAAAGAGACTATCGATATTCATTAGGGTAACATTTTCTTAATTTTCAGGTCTAAAAAAATAAATTAGTATGGTTTATAGAAGTGAGGATCTGGAAACAAAGCAAAAATTCATTGTTATAAAATTAATCTCATTATTTAGAAATCATCCTGCCTTCAGTTATATTCAAAGTTGTTATTGTCAAATGCCTACATTATATATTGATATATTTTTGTACTCATAGACAGAAGTTTTAAGAAAACAGGTTTGTACCATATGAGAAAAAGAATTTTAAATGGCAAAAACCAAAGATGGCAAGCACTGACTCTAAATGAGTCCCCATGGTGGGAGAGAACAAGTTAGGGCTTGCAGGATTATGGTGGACGAAATTCCTGCATCTGCTAGGATTTGGGGCAGTGAACACACAGGGTCCTTTCTATGTTATTCTATGACTTAAAATTTTTATATATCTTTTTTGTGTTCAGGTTACTTTTACCTTAAAATAGAAATAAATGGTCTCACATTTTAAGTATTATTTAAGGATTTCATCAGTAATTAAGTGAATGTTACCACTCTAAAATCAGAGCATCTTACAATTTTTTTTTTCAGACTTTTAATACCAAGTATCAAATTCAGCTGCCCATTGCTTGAAAGGTCAATACTCAAGAGACAAGTGTTGATTGGGAAGGGATATGAGCTTTATTCAGAAGGCCAGTGACCTGGAGAGGAGGCAGACACTTGCCCAAAAGCCAGCTCTGAGGTTTCCTGATTCTCTGTAAATTTCGTGGTTCCTATTTACAACTTTCAGTGCTGGAGGGTTGTGCGAGAGGCCCAATTCTTATTCTGTGATGTGCAAGGGCTTTCTATTCTCCTTCTAGAAAAGAAAATAAGATATATAGATTCACAAGGAGTGTTAGTAAATCAATCATATGAACCTAAGAACACCTATTAAAGATCATCTTGCTAGTTATGAAGATCAAGGTGGCCTCAATTCCCCCCTGTCAATTTATCATTCCATATCTATGGGATTAAGGACCAAGGTCCATCTTCAGTAGCTGCTTCATGCTGATCTAGGGTGTAGTCAGGACCTTGGAATGGAATATGTTAATGTGGGTTTGAAGCATTCCTTAATGCACAACTGATGTGACTTGTTTGCACAGTTTTGGTACACACATTTGTAATGAGCTTAATTCCTGTGTATACACATAATACTACTAGCACGAGGGTGAGTCCTAATTTTAGAATGTCTTAGAATACCGCCTAATATGAACCTAAGTCCCGATGGTATCCAGGGGAAGGTGTATGTGAACCAGTTCCATCCTTTCTGGAACAGGGGTGTATGGCAATAGAGTTTGCTGCAACCAAGTGGCTTGCTGTCTGATGTTATCAATACTGGTTTCCACTTCCAAGGAGGTATTGATATAAGCACAGCAAGATGAATTTGCAGCAACATAAATTCCCCCTTGATAAGCTAGGGTATAGTCTAGGGCCATATGCTTATCCAGGACTTTAGGGAATCTAATGATATTTATAAGTTAGCCGAAGATTTGGTGGTTTCTTGATGGTTAGAGTTTGGGACAGGTTGCAAAACACACATTGATGAGAAGCAGCCTCCCATTATGGCAACAATGTATAACCAAAGAAACATTCATCCCCATCAGAGATATTGCCTGAGTGGTCACTGTCAGTCTAGTAAATAATTTCAAGGAACTAGCCCTGTGTTTAATCTCATCAGCCAAGTGGAGGAAGAAGGGGATTACTGGAGTGTCCAGAAAGGGTAGAAGAATTTGTAATGCAGTCTGTGGCTCAGGGCACTCCATCTGATTTGCAACTAAAGACAAACCCAGCCAGAGCACAAAGACGAATGGTGGGGTCCTTCTCAAAACTTAGTGAGAATCAGCACGAACAGGGCAGTTCAGTCCATCTAATCTCTGCTTGCCTGAACCTCGCTATAGATATCATCTGTAGCCAGAAATGAAACAAGACTTTTGTTTACACACATAGAGAGCTGGTCCCTTTTGGGAGATGGTTTCATGTGGTATCTAACTGGGGAATACAAGCCTATTTTCTATCCTTTGAAAATAACCTCTTTTAATACAGTACTTTGAGGGTGAGACATCAGGGTGACTCATGATCATTTTGAAAGAATCTAGCTATTCTAACACTATGGAATTTTAAATAGTCTTTTTTTTTTTTTAATTAAGTAAGCTTTATGCCCAACATAGGATTTGAACTCTTGACACCAAGACCAAGAGTCACATGTTCTACTCACTGAGCCCACCAGGTGCCCTCTAACATTATATATTTTTATTTTGGCCTTAACAGTTGGAAACCAACTCCCTTAGGGGATTTCTGAGGTGTTCTAAATGGAATGGACCAAGGGGTCTCCATGATCCTGCACTGACCAGGCTTTTCAGATGACATAACCAACAATTGATAGCACATGTGGCTGTAGCTGAAGTCTGAATTACCCATACTATTGTCCTGTCTTTCCAGTCTAGGGCAAGAGAAGACATGGTTAAAATGGATCACAGAGTGAACACAGTTGTCGTGGATTTCCTTTCCTAAAGGGGTATTTTAAATCCTGAATAGGATGGCTTTCCCAGCAGGGGGGTTTATTTATTTTTGTATTTTTTGTATTTTATTTTATTTTATTAACATATAATGTAATATTTGTTTCAGGGGTACAGGTCTGTGATTCATCAGTCTTACACAATTTACAGCACTCACCATAGCACATACTCTCTAATGTCCATCACCTAGCCACCTTATCCCTCCCTACTCTACTCCAACAACCCTCAGTTTGTTTCCTGAGATTAAGAGTCTCTTATGGTTTTTCTTCCTCTCTGGTTTCATCTTCATTTCTCTCTTCCCCTATGATCCTCTGTTTTGTTTCTCAAATTCCTTATGTCTGTGAGATCATATGATAATTGTCTTTCCCTGATTGACTTATTTCACTTAGCATTATACTCTCTAGTTCCATCCATGCTGTTGCAAATGGCAAGATTCACTTTTGATGGCTGCATAATATTCCATTGCAGATCTATACCACATCTTCTTTATCTATTCATCTGTTGATGGGCATCTCTTTCCATAGTTTGGCTATTGTGGACATTGCTGCTATAAACATTTGGGTGTACGTGCTTCTTTGGATCACTACATTTGTATCTTTAGAGTCAATACCCAGCAGTGTGATTGCTGGGTCATAGGGTAGCTCTATTTTCAACTTTTTGAGGAACTTCCATACTGTTTTCCAGAGTGGCTGCACCAGCTTGCATTCCCACCAACAGTGCAGGAAGGTTCTCCTTTCTCTGCATCCTTGCCCAGATGGATCCTGACTAGTTAATTTTAGCCATTCTGACAGGTGTGAGGTGGTATCTCATTGTGGTTTTGATTTGTATTTCCCTGATAATGAGTGATGTTGAGCACTTTTTCATGTGTCTGTTGGCCATCTGGATGTCTTCTTTGCAGAAATGTCTGTTCATGTCTTCTGCCCATTTCTTGATTGGATTATTTGTTCTTTGGGTTTTGAGTTTGATGAATTCTTTATAGATTT